TGATATTACAAATAAAATATAGCTACAGTATACGCAAACTGAGCTGTGTGCTGCACAAGCGTCCCATATGGATGTAGTTGCTGGAGAATGCTTGGTTGGAAACCAAGTGATACATGCAATGATGCAAAATTATGCAATTATCTGTAACATTTTCATATAAATAAATAATAAAAGCAACACGGCCAGAGGTGTTGATTAAACTGGTTTTGCACTAGACTACATTATATTGAGAGCTGTTTCTAATATTCTATTTTGTATGTAAATAGGGTGGACATAAAATTTGAAACAATATAATATAATGCTTTCCAGCACCGCTAACTAAAATCTCAAAGAGTAACATACACTTTAGTTAAACTAACACCTCTATTACAGTATTAACAAGAACTGAAACATAGAATCGACAGCAGGGCGGGTGTGTTGGATTGCATCAGACTGTACAGGTGTACAATGCTCACTAGGGATGAAAACGGTATGAAAATTTCATATCACAATTATAGTGACCAAAATGATCACAGTTATCAGTATTATCACGGTATTGTAAAAATGTGCCGAAAAAGATTAAAATGTACTGATACACACACTGAAACCATTTCAACAAGTTTTATATTGAAAACTACAAATACAATTGCCATTTTGTTTGCATAAAAAATAAAATAACAGCAAATACGTATTATAAACGTGAAAATCATCAGTGTGCATTATCAAGATTTTATTTATTATATTATATAGGTAGGCCTAATACAATGACCCTGTGGACAATTACATGACAACAAATAAGTCTTTAGAAGACAGTGGTAGTGACTGCAATGTGCCCAAAAACTGACATAAATACAGAGAGTCTGTAGCGTTTCTAGATATGCTGGTTGGTTGACTGAACTGCGTAACGTGTTATCATGTGAGTGGACGAACAGACTCTGCAGACACACAGCAGCAGAACAACGTGTAGCGTTTTTACAAGAGCAGCAACACTGAGAGCTTCAGTTTACACGCTGTTAGCAAGTCAGAGAGATAAACCAAAGCTAAAAGTTAACTAAAAGTGTTTGCTGTGAGATTATAACGGCGAGGTTAACCGTACCCGGTTACCATGGTAATTAAAATGTGTACGGTAATAATAACCGTCGGGAATTTTACCATGGTTTATCGTTAAACCGTTAATCGTTTCATCTCTAGTGCTCACTGAATGTACTGACTTACTTTTGCTACTGAACACAAAAGTGATTCAACTTACATCCAGTCTATGACAGCTTTTACATTAGCTACTTCTTGTAACACTTGGTGTCTGGCTGCCAATTCATGTTTCTTTTGGAGTAAATAGATGCGGTAGTTCATGTAAATAATAAGCTTCATAAATAGAAATCCCCCTCAAAAAATACACCCATTATCATCTGATTGCCAAGAAACCTGAGAAAAGGCAATACAAGACCACCACAGCAATGAGCGTTTAAGGCCAAATGTGCAAGACACTTCCCACGAATTCTGATGTAGAGATGTAGAAATAAGTTTTGCCTAATTCCTTCTCCCACAGAGATGATTTCCTGGCAGTCGCTGAGGGCTGCTGTTGACTGGCCAAAGTTCGAAGGCTGCCCCCGTTTCTCACTGCAACCAAAATCAATAAAGAATCACTGATGTGCAGTGGAGCTCACAGCACACCATTTAAAACCCTATCTTGGAAAAGTGATCAGAGCAATACAAAAAGCCCCCAAATTTGCACTGGACTTTAATTGGAACTGTGAATTCTTCCAAATATACACAACAGATACACACGTCCTGCACTACCTGTCAAAATAGCGTTTGCTGAAGTGTTGGCATGGCTCTTGTCTTCGCTGAACCGAGAGTCTAACCTGGGCTATAACACACAAGTAAAACAAATGAGATGAGAAATAGCAGAATGTGCAGAAATTAACTAAAGCCTCGTCTCTTCCAGACGTGACAAATCGATGCGACTGATGCAAGCGCTGCCTGAGTGCACATACAACAGATTCCTTACAAAAGTGAAATGTGTCAAACATTCAGTAGATGTTCCGTCACTTTGACAACTAATAAGGAGGTAAAAGCGCAGACGGCAGCTTATTCTGCTTCTCAAGCACCAACTGCTTATTCCTAGTCTCACTTGTGCTGTCTGTGGTAGACGTAGGGCTGGACAATTCTATAAATATCGCAATATAATGTTTTTCAATAACAATATAACAAATGTTCAATAAATATTCAACAAATGTTTGATTTTATTTACTTGAATCAAACACAAATTAACTTAATTTGTTATTAATGTTTTTTTATTAGTGTTAAAACTTAATTAATGTTTATTTTGTGGAGGAAAAACAAATGTTCTACCTCAGATTTGTGAAGTGATCCCCTGTTTGGCCTCAAGTGTTGACCATAAAGATGAGTCAATCAGATTTCTTCAACTTTCACTCAGGAGCAAAAATCAGCCTTTTAACTCGAAAGACATAACGATTTGATACTTATCGTGATAATTATCGAGATCAAAAAATTATGATTACATTTTTGGCCATATTGTCCAGCCCTAGGTAGAACCTCAAGTAGTTCATCTTTTCATCAGCCAACATGTTGTACAAAAAAGTCCCCCAACTTTACTGTTTTGGTTCCTTCTCAGCTGTTTTTACCAACAAGCACTACCTTACATAGCACCAACCAGCAGACAGACACAGGAGAACATCGTAGAGCTTTTAGTAGGTGAAGAGCAAAAATTCCTTCAGGAGTTGGTAGGGACCAAAAACAGAGCCACAAGAGAGTGAATTATTTTACTTACATTCTTCATGTGGCCAGAAACACGCCTCCAGATGAATGATAATGTTGCTCTACATCTTCTGAATGAGTAAACAAGCAACTGTTTCCCAAAAAGTTATTGGAAGTTTTGGTTAGCTCTCTTGTTGGATAGTAGGAAGAAGTTTGGTGGGAACATCGAAGATATAACTCAACACTGTTCATGCTAAAAATGTTTGCATGCAGCCTACTTTATTATTATTATAAAATCCCATTTGCGTGGTAGTGTGCTTTACTGGTGATGCCAAAAAGTCAAAACTGAGCTCATAATGTGTGTCAACAAACTGGAGCTACAGGCCAGGAGTCAGCCACCAGGCAGTTTTATCATAAACTAATGTGTATGCTAACAAGTCAATGAACTACGGGGGATGAATATAAGAATTGGGCTCTTAACATGTGATCTGTGCACTGGAAGAATCTACTGAAAACAACGTATGCTCTTTTAAAGAAAACAGTGTGTATCCATGCAACAGTATGGTGTGTTTACACTGTTGTTAGGTCACCAGGAGGAAGCTTTCATTACATAATGCTTCATGATCGAGTGTTATCTTCCAAAGCATGTTTCATAGACTCATAATAAATACCTTGTATCAGCATGTAACACCCACAACAACAAGCTAATGTATACAAGCAATCAACAAGTAATCATTTTGGCGAAAAATGAAAAGAAGTGTCCAGCCAGTGATTAGTTTGAAGGACCAATATAAACCAAATCAATGTAGATTTGTGCATTTTCCCATAAACGGTCCAATACCCTACCCATAACATGCATAATTATTCTTACTATGATGTAAGCAATTATTGAGATATACAGTGGACTAAAAAGGCATAAAAGCCCCATGTAAACAAGCAGGTAAACCCAGTTCAGGTGAGTTTAGCCTCAACTATATCCACAAGTGTTTTCTGCAAGAACAGACTCCAAGACATTGCACACTGCAGTGAGCGATTTAGCACACTCTCTAGCGTGGGTGTGATAGGCAGCCATCCAAAAAACCTCTAACAAGGTGTGTTGATAAAACAATGGGCCTGGCTTTGTGGAAAATGTCAAAAGTGTTGATAATAACAGAAAGGGAAATACAGGCTTTTGTTATTTTGGCATTATTCTGCTGAATTATTACTAACATTTACAATTGATGACCACATAACTACACAGCGTATGATTCCTCCAGGCTGGTGTGCATATCGGGTAAATGAGTTAACATTATAATGTAGAAAATAATGAGGATTTTGTTAGTTTAGGGAGGAAATAAATTGTTGTTTCCTGAAAATGTATTTAATTTAGGTTTTGCCACTGTTTGGATCACCAGTTAGAGGTTTAGTCTCTCCTCCTTGAAATGTATCACTCCACCATCAGTTAAAATATCCATGCACAGTGATATTTATGATGATATGTAGGCCTGCTGGCATTAGCCTGATACACTGAGTAGGCCAGGCATCTGATCAACAGGACCTATGGGCTGCCACATCCGCAACAGAGGAAATATCCTCCATGTATTCCCACCACTACAGCTAAACTGGCCTGTAACATTATCAGGTACCCTGTCTCTCCATTCTGCACTCTGTCCATAGGACAGGCAGGAAGCGAGACACAAAGACAGTTTGTGATGGGGATGCAGGCTGCTGCAGCAGGGGTTCTCAACTGGTTTTATGTCACACACCTAACACCCCATGCTGTTGGGCTGTATTTCCAAGGACTAATAAGAGAAGATCTTTCTTGTTTAATAATTTAAATTAACAGTTTAAACCTATTAGAAGCCACCTGGGGCCAAATAACGACCCATAAGACACATGTACACACACACACATGCACACACTTCGGGAACCTCCACAAGGGATCTTGTGCGTCCCCTGCACCCCCACTTTGACAACCAGTGGGCTGCGGGTGTCAGGTACGGTGAAGATGTGTAGCACACGGAAGTGATGGAGAGGAGTTCGTGTGGGGTGGAGGGGCGCAGGCCACAGCGGCAGTGTTGCAGATTTTATCAGCAGAATGGGCCGTGAAAGCAGTGACACACTGCCTTCTCGTACACTGCGTCAACAACAGACTGTGCGTAATCTCGGTGCGCGTCTGCTGCGTTCAGACAAGAAAAGGCAAACACCAAACCTGCCTGTGGAATGTGTAACGCAGCATATTACATGGTCTCTCTCTCTCTCTCTCTCTCTCTCTCACACACACACACACACACACACACGAGGCTAGCTAGAAAACAACTCACGGTAGCCGAGGTCAGGCTGCTGTCTGTGAGCGTGAGGTGGTGCGGCTCCCATCTCCGCAAGAACTTGGAGGTGAGGATCTTGCTGAGGAAGGTGCGGGGGTGTTTGACCACGCACACCTGGATGTCCCCCTCGTGGAGCAGCTTGTATCGCATCCCGCTGCTGCTGCAGTGGTGCAGGGACCTCTTGCACGGCCCTGCGCCCAGCTTGGTGTTATTATTCCCCTCCGACATCTCCCCCAGCAGAGGCTTGTTCTCCTCGCACTGATAAAACTGGTTGTTGTGCAGCTCGTTGCTCCCTCCGCCGCTGTTGAAATCCATACTTAAGTAATCCAACAGTTTATTGTTTCCAAATGTTGCTCTCGGGGGGGAAGGGGGAGGGGGGGCGAACGCGTCACAACGATCCAAGAATCCTACATGTATATGAAAAATAGAAAGATCAGGTCGTTTTGATCGAGCTGGAGCAAGGGGGAAGGTGGGGGGTACCTACCTACCAACCGCTATAACACGACCTCAGTTACTATAGACACGGCCAAGACAGGCACAGAAATGCCACCAAACAGTGTCTTACGGTAGGATATCGTATCGTATCGTATAATCCACCATTTTCCTCCCCGCACAATGCCCCATAAATTGTCTCCACTGTGCGCCTCTCGCCTCCCCCCACCACCACCAACGAGCTATTCAATATGTTAGGGCCATGGCCTTATCCATTCCGTCCGCCCCGGTGCCAAACACAATAATCCACACCGAGGAACGCATGGGAGTAATGAAAAAAGGGCAAAATATCCAATGGCGGCAGCTGTAGGCTCTTCCGTGGGGTTTTGTGGTCATTACAGGATCGCTGGCACGGTTTCCTTTTATTCAGTCTTTTCCCCCTATCTTGGTGTCAAGGAGCCAGCACTCTCCGACAGCGCCGATTGGTCCCCGCTCGTTCATGTGATACCGGACTGACGTCAATGGGGAGGCGAGCGGATGAGCAGTGTGTCTTTGCGCTCGACTGTCTGCCGAGGGCGCCCCCCCCCCCCCCCCCCCCCCGCAAGATGGAGGATTCAAGTGAATCCACCCCCCACTTCCCTTTCACTGGAAATGATGCAGCGTGTCCTGTCGACATCCACATCTTTTCCAGAGTAGGAGTGCAGAGAAGACCATTATTGACAAGGCATGTGAATCAATATGGGGGACTTTATTAGGAGCGGAGAACCAAGGACGTGATGTCACTCAGGTAGAGTTTACTAACCTTAAGTGCTTTTATAAATCTATATCACCTTTATGTACGGGAGGAAATGCATCATAGGCTTTCAGTAGCCTTTTGGGTGAGGAAAAATATTAAAAAATAATGAATGTCATAGAAGAAAAATATTACTGGATTACTGGATTGCCGATTCTGTTCCAAGTAATTTTCCTGTTAATTACCTTATGATTATGTATGGTTTCCCCTCTTTTTTATTTAACCCACCACTACAGCACTTCAGGGAAAAAAGTATAGGCCTATGTACTTACTGATTAACAACTTGAAACCAAAAGGTCTGCAGACGTTTTTAATATAGCTCAGATTTATTTAGTTAACTACAGTATCTCACAAAAGTGAGTACACCCCTCACATGTTTGTAAAAATCTGATTATAGGCCTATCGTTTTCATGTGACAACACTGAAGAAATGACACTTTGCTACAATGTAAAGTAGTGAGTGTCCAGCTTGTATAACAGTGTACATTTGCTGTCCCCTCAAAATAACACATCACACAGCCATTAATGTCTAAACCGCTGGCAACAAAAGTGAGTACACCCCAGGACTTACATTCTCAGGGAGAATGCTAAAGCTTTTATTAACTTCTTATTATTTTTTCCAATATAAAGTCACATAACTTGTGGACCACGTAACTTACAGCAAAATGCTGTAACTTACGGATATCGGCATAACAGTAAGTCTAAATTGAATGTTAGAAAGCAAACAATGTCAGATCCATGCAAATCTATGTGGCTGCCCCTGCCTTGCATCTCTATTGGTTTTAGTAACAAATCGCTCCACATTTGCTTTGTAGTGTTACATCCTTTCTTGCAGGCTAAATCAACATAAATTGACATAATACGGGTGGTACAGAGGATAGTAATACTCAATGGGTCATGATAACTGGTGAAGTAATGTGGCAAGCCATACAACTCTAGTATTTTGCAACGCATAATGTTAGCAACTGCTCGGTGTTAGCTGGTGTTACATCAAAATCTGTGAGCCATTCAATTCTGTGTCTAATCCCAAACCACAATCCTCTCCTAAACCTAACCAAGTAGTTTTGGTGCCTAAACCTAACGTTTAAGAAAGCCCTGAGGGTTTAACTTACCATCTGGGTCACAGAATGTGATGGGTGACAGATTTTGGTTTCACCGGCAAGCCAACGTTATCTAACTTGAGCCAACTAAAGCCCAAAATCACAATATATTTCACATGCTTTGCAGTAATGTTAGTTTACCCGTTCAGTATGAAAGCCAACTCTGGGTCTGTTATGAAAATAAAGCGGAGGTCTCTCCATGACTCAGACACCTCTCTGAAGTTGACCATGTTTTTGCCGACTGGCTGTTGCAAGGGACTGAGAATGCAGGTGTGCGGTTCATTTTTATGTGAGGTTACAACCCATTCACAAATAGATAATAAAAAAGTGTTTAATCAAATCATTTCATTAAAAAAACTACATATAGTCCCTTTAATTGTAGAATGTAAACTCATGTTGCTGACACCCACAAATTCACAATAAAATAATTTACATTATTTTATGCAGTTGCGCTGCATGTTTTGGATTCTGTCTGAACACGCTTTTAGGAAGGATGGGGGTTTTGTTTTTTTAGCCCTTGACCTCATATCAATGCTCCCCAGAGTATGAACCCTTTTCAGGACACACTGAGCTTTCTTCTATTACAGCAATATGGCCAGATTTCCAAGTTTGAACACAAGATACAGTATTCAATGCCATGACATTTGCAGTGGGTATTCCTGGTCCCCAGAGGATGAACCTTGGTTGATTGATCCTATGACTCCAACCCAACATTTCCACATACATGAGATATTGTATAATAGGCTGATTAGCTGGCTTTAGGCTGTCAGTCTTTCAGATAAATTCCACCAGATCAAGTTTGGACTCAGGTAGGTTGAGTTACAGTACAGAGAGAAGCACACCATGCCACACCTTGGTAGAGATTTATTGTCTTTGTCATGGATACTTTGGCAGGGCGGCTGTTGAACAATACAAGGCCCTGAAGTCATGCCTTCCACTAAAAGAGCCACCCCTAACACTAGTCACTTATGAATGCGCCAATGCTGAGTTCTTTAGTAAAACTATCGCTCTGATCCTGTCAAAAAGGTCAATACGAGAGAAAATAAAATATAAGCTTAGCCTGTGTAAACTCCCTGTGATGAAGTGTCAACTCTGTGGTTTTTCTGAAGTATTCCAGTAATCACCCTGTCAGACCTTATCGTATCTCGTATTAAACGAAATCACTTATCATTGGATCACCTTTTATTTGCCTGTTTGTCAATGGGTTGGAACCGCACATAAAAATGAACCGCACACCTGCTTTTTCCGTCTCTTGGAACAGCCACTAACAATCTCATTTATAATATTCAGTCTAGCTCACTAACAGTTTTGGGTTATCATCCAATAAATTTAGTAATTTAGTAAATTTAATAATTTATGCTGACTCTGCTGAGCCTCTCTGGTGAAAGAGACACAACATCAGCGTATCACGTCAGCTTAATGCAGTCAATGTAGTGTTATCATGTAACGAGCATGGATTAGTTCACGGTCAAGCTGATAAAAATGTTACTGTAACTCTGCAGTGGGAGTTTACCTGAGCTTCTCTTGACTTGTCCCTGTTTTGGCAGACGCAGAGTGCTAGCTCATGAGTTCGAGCATGCGCACAAACTCATTCTTGGAAAATTTAGTGGTTGTAATCTGAAAGCTCACTGCTAGAGACAACTGAAAACTACATCCAGCCCCATTAAAGGTTTCAACAAGAAACAACTACAGAAAGAATAGAGAGTAACATCTATCTATGCCCTACTGCATACAAACTCCTGATCATGTCTTTGAATGCTAAGCTTCACCCTTCTTATTTTCCAAAGCATGCAGCTTTAAAGATATTAGGACAACAGGGCAATATGACATATTTAAAAAGTGATTAAAGTGGTCACACACTGTCAGTCAGTGAGTGTTGTGTCCAGATGCTTCAAACATAAGCAAGCGGCAGTTCAGAAACTTACCTATAGAAACCTGATGAAAATTTGTGTTACGTTTAGGGTCTGACTGAGATATATAGAAATCCCAGTGTTAAATTGGAGTGTTTTAATTAAACCTGGTAAAAACATCAACTTAATCAGTTAAGTGACGTGACTGTCCAGTTGTGTGCTTGCATGGGTGCCATATCCTAGTACCTAATGTACAGCAAGACCTGGAAAAGCTTATCCATGCATTTATCTTCAGTCGACTCGACTACTGTAACAGTGTCCTTACAGGGCTCCCTAAGAAATCCATCAGACAGCTGCAGCTGATTCAGAACGCTGCTGCTCGAGTCCTCACTAAGACCAAAAAGGTGGATCACATCACTCCAGTTCTGAGGTCTTTACACTGGCTTCTTGTATGTCAAAGAATTGATTTCAAAATCCTGCTGTTAGTTTATAAAGCACTGAATGGTTTAGGGCCAAAATACATTTCTGATCTTCTGCTTCGTTACGAACCATTCAGACCTCTCAGGTCGTCTGGGGCAGGTCTGCTTTCTGTCCCCAGAGTCAAAACTAAACAAGGAGAAGCAGTGTTCAGTTTTTATGGTCCGTATATCTGGAACAAACTCCCAGAGTGAAAAGATAATGAGAGTGAGAATGAACAGAGTGAAGGAAGTGGTCTTAATTCTCGCGTCTGAGTGATTTGCAGGACCCTCTGTCCACCTGTAAACGCGCAGGTGGGTCCAGAGTATAACTGGATCAAAGCGGCCTGCGGACAGACATGTCCTGGTTTCTCTGTAGTGTCCGAGGGTTTTTGGAGTTTCAGTGGACCCAAAGATTGTTGTGGACCTGAGTACAGACTAGCTAGAAAGAGTAGATTAAGTCTGCTTCTCTGTTTATTCTCGTTTCAAAATAATTGTAACTCAATTATTTGCTCAACCCCTCAACCTGTTTTTATTTTCCATTTAACTCTTTTAACCCTGATTGTACACTGCAATGTAACCTTTATTATATTTTAATGTGTATTTTTTCAATTTCCCTATGTTGCTTTTAAACTTTTTTATATTTCCCTGTTGCTTTTATGTTTTATGTAAAGGACTTTGAATTACCTTGTTGTTGAAATGTGCTATACAAATAAGCTTGCCTTGCCTAATGTGGTATCACAAGGAGGAGCTTTCCCATCATAAGATCCAGAAACTAAAATGTTCAGCTCAATGTGAAGAAATCTTCTGATTAAAAGTGACCATCTCCAACTATCATTTAATCTCCTCTGCTGAAAACAGATACACTAGTGCTCAAACGTCATCGTGGGCCAAGCGGCAAACTTCCAGTCTCAGGTCTGAGTCTATATTGGAAGTAGCTAAAACTGCAATTCATCGAGCGGTCACTTGAGGCTGGCTTCATAAGGGAGTCAATCTACATTGATGCACAGTCTATGTCATTAGCATGTATCTACATTTCTTATTAATAAAAGTTTCCTTTCTCTTGTCGCTCCTATATTTTTGGAGCAGCTGGTTGTGTAATGTAATGTAAAGAGTATGCACATTTGTTCCTGCTTGTTGGAGGGTGGCTGCATAGTGGACTTTTTCCATGGCAGTAATCTTGTAAAGCTACTTTTTAACAGTAACGTTGCACATGAGGAACTTTAGAGGGTCGGTTCATCCAAATTACGGAAAATAATCATTAACTTTTGCTTTCACTTACCCAGATCTGCCTCTCAGATTTTTGCCTCCACTCCAATACTCTAGAGTTAATTGTTTTTTTTTTTGTTGTTGTTTCTTTTGTGGCACTTACAGCATTAACAGTTATTTACAGAAATCAACAGCAACATGTCTCAGTTTCCTTTCACAGGGCCAATTTCTTTGGTATTATTTTACAAGTCCAACAAGAAAAGTGAAAAATGTGATTGTATGACTATGATTGTATTACTATGTAGTAACAGTAAACTCAGATGGGTATTTACAATATTGATACAGATATGTGGGAAATAGCCTTTTGCATCCCTAATATACAAACTGAAACATGCACTTTAGATCTAATGAGGCTAATAACGCATAAACATAGGGGATGATATCATGTCAAATGCAGGTGGAAAAAACCACTGCTTCATGACGTTGTGAAATTCCTGGAAGAATAAGCCAGAGGGAATGCGGCTTTAGAAACACAGGTGAGTGTTACGGCACAGCTGCAAGATGCAACAGTCTGTGCTGAAGGTAACTGACTGGGAACAGAGGCCTCACAGCTTCCCATCTCATGGGTTCCAACTAACAACAACAACCACCTCTGTGTCACCTCTGAAGTTTCCACATGTTCCTGCCGGGACATCCCCCAGTTCTCCCACAGCCTCCTTTCCGCTGACAATTACGCATCAGCAGCGTCCTTCTGCCGCAACACCATCGAAACTCCAGCCAGTTTTGTTCTGGAGACAAGTTACAACAAGCCGAGCAGCCCGTCAGCAGACTGGCTGCTGTTGAGTCAACAGTCAATGACAGCCAAAGGGAAAGAAATAAGTGCAGCAAGAATGGGATGCGTCATAGAGCCAGACTGATATACGTGAATGGAAATTACATATTACACAACATTGAATCAGTGCTGGAAATCAATAACAAATATTGCTAAATACAATAATTAAATTTGTGTTCTGAAGATGTATGTCAATAATATGAATTTCTCCTGTACATCACAGAATCAGTGGAAATGATTTGATTACATACTGTAATATCAGAATCAGAAGGAGCTTTATTGCCAAGTAGTGTTTTACACATACGAGGATTTAGCTGTGGTGATAAGATGCTACATGTAGACAAACATACAGTTGACATAAATAAATGTAGAAATATATAAATATTGAATAGAAAATGCAAGTTATATAAAAGTATTAAAAAGAATAGAGAAAAATAATAATTATGAACTATTTGCAGAGAAAAAACAACGTTGCAGATATTTACATGTGCATTTTTCTGGGTTTGTGCTGTGCAGATGTATGTTATAAAACTGATCAATACAACACTGATTGCCTGCGGGAAACTGAAATTGTTACGAAGAGACATTTTGATTCCATATGAATGAATGACCTTATATATATACATATGATGACCTTCAGAGAAAAGAAACATGGTCTTGTGGATTGACACCTATGCTCTGCTAATCACCAGGTCACATGTCGAGGCCAGTCAGACCCCCGTATGAGTGTGTGTATCTTTACACGAGGGTTTAAATAATTTTGAAAGATGATACTACTTCTTGATAACTTGGTCATTTTAAAATAAAATCATTTCAAGAATGGAGAATTTAAAGAGAGCCAATGTAACTTTTTCTGAACAGCAGCCTCTGAGACCACATGAGGGAATTCCAGGATAATGGTAAATGCTAAAACAGAGCATAACAGTAGCACAAGCAGAGAAGACCTACGAAATCTTTGCAAACATTATCCAACATAAACTCTGGACATACCAAACCAAGTAAGGCTGTAGCACCAAAACCTCAAAGTGTATTAAATTAATCACAAGTGTTATATTACTTATGATAACTTTTACTTTCTAAGACGTTTATTATATATTTTCTTTCAGAAGTAACTATGAGATAAAACTATTATGACACATGTAGAGACTGAAATTGGTTCCAGTGAGGAACATTCAGCATATGACTGATTTCTGCACTGCACAACACCGCTGGCTGATGATTAAAAGTAAAACATCCTATCAGTCTAACAATCAGTTATTCCAAGAGCCCAATCAGTGTCGCAGTGATCAGTTTTGGCTATTACTAGCCTCTACTAGTCTCACAGTGTAAGTCTAGTTCTGCACAAACTTTCAAAATGCCATGTCAGCAATCCCTCCCCCACACCACATCAGTCACAGGTCCCAGGTCAGCTAGATTTTGGGATAGGTCACGAGAGCTGCTCACTTTAACTGAATAACCGCCATCCTGGTCATGCTACATAATCCTGTTTGGTTAATCCCTTGTCTAGACCTTTCCTAAGCAACACGCACATACAATGTATACTGCTCATGAAGATAAACCCGGCTAGACGCTCCAATTACACTAAATGCATGTTTAACGTTCACACTTAACAAGTACACATAAAGCATTGTCTGTTCATTTTCAGCATAAATTCAAAACTGAACTGCTGGATTGATTATAGGAGGAATCCTCGCCCTGCTGGTGTCAGAACATGATATCTCAACAACAAATGGCCACATTCACGTGAAATTTCAAATGGATAATCATGATCAACAGAGGATGATCCCTAATGGTTTTGCTGACCTTTAAACCAGAGCCACAGTCAGGTCAGAATTTTACTCATATTTTTGGTTTTGCCCAATTTTGAAGATATTTTGGGGGAAATTCATGTAAAAAAAATCATTGGAAAGCCAACAGAGGTATATAAATAAGTATGTTTGCAGGAGTGGCATGGCGGTTAGCACTGTTGCCTCACAGCAAGAAGGTTGTGGGTTCAAACCCCAGTTGCCCCGACCTGCATGTTCTCTCCAGGTGCTCCGGCTTCCTTCCACCATCCAAAGACATGCTCTAAATTGTGGTGTGAGTGTGACTGGTTTTGCCCGATGTCAGCTGGGATTGGCTCCAGCCCCCCTGTACGCAGGATAAGCGGTTGACGATGGATGGATGGTGTTTGTTTGTCATAACTTTTTGTTGTTAAATTTTATTCGTATTTTAATACTTACAGTGGGGGAAAAAATTATTTGATCCTCTGCTGATTTTGTACGTTTGCCCACTGACATAGAAATGATCAGTCTATAATTTTAGTGGTAGGTTTATTTGAACAGTGAGAGACAGAATGAGTGAAATAAGTATTTGACCCATCTGCAAAACATGACTTAGTACTTGGTGGAAAAAGTACATTGTTGGCACTAGAGGTCACAGAGGTCAGATGTTTCTTGTAGTTGGCCACCAGGTTTGCACTCATCTCAGGAGGGATGTTGTCCCACTCCTCTTTGCAGATCTTCTCTTAAGTCATTAAGGTTTGGAGGACAACGTCTGGCAACTTGAACCTTCAGCTCCCTCCACAGATTTTCTATGGGGTTAAGGTCTGGAGACTGGCTTGGCCACTCCAGGACCTTAATGTGCTTCTTCTTGAGCCATTCCTTTGTTGCCTTGGCCGTGTGTTTTGGGTTATTGTCCTGCTGGATTACCCATCCACGACCCAGTTTCAATGCCCTGGCTGAGCGAAGGAGGATCTCCCCCAAGATTTGACGGTACATGGCCCCGTCCATCGTCCCTTTGATGCGGTGAAGTTGTCCTGTGCCCTTAGCAGAAAAACACCCCCAAAGCATAATGTTCCACCTCCATGTTTGACGGTGGGGATGGTGTTTTTGGGGTCATAGGCAGCATTCCTCCTTCTCCAAACACGGCGAGTTGAATTTAATGCCAAAGAGCTTGATGTTGGTCTCATCTGACCACAACACTTTCACCCAGTTCTCCTCTGAATCATTCAGATGTTCATTGGCAAACTGTACATGTGCTTTCTTGAGCAGGGGGACCTTGGGGCGCTGCAGGATGTCAGTCCTTCATGGCGTAGTGTGTTACTGATTGTTTTCTTGGTGCCTATGGTCCCAGCTACCTTCAGATCATTGACAAGATCCTCCCATGTAGTTCTGGACTGATTCCTCACCGTTCTCATGATCATTGCAACTCCACGAGGTGAGATCTTGCATGGAGCCCCAGACCGAGGGAGTTGTATTGTGTTTCTTCCATTATCGAATAATCGCACCAACTGTTGTCACCTTCTCACCAAGCTGCTTGGCAGTGGTCTTGTAGCCCATTCCAGCCTTGTGTAGGTCTACAATCTTGTCCCTGACATCCTTGGACAGCTCTTTGGTCTTGGCTACGGTGGAGAGTTTGGAATGTGATTGCTTGCTTCTGTGGACAGGTGTCTTTTAAAGAGGTAACAAACGTGATTAGGAGCAGTCCCTTTAAGAGTGTGCTCCTAATCTCAGCTCGTTACCTGTATAAAAGCTACCTGGGAGGCAGAGATCTTTCTGAGTGAGAGGGGGTCAAATACTTATTTCACTCACTAAAATGCAAATCAATTTATAAAATTTTTCACAAGCATTTATCTGGATTTTTTTTGTTGTTATTCTGTCTCTCACTGTTCAAATAAACCTACCACTAAAATTATAGTCTGATCTTTTCTTTGTCAGTGGGCAAACGTACAAAATCAGCAGGGGATCAAAAAAAATTTCCCCCACTGTATATATATTTTTCAAAATGATAATAAAAAGGTCAAGTGCATAAAAAATAGTACATTAAAGATCCCAAAGGTAACACCCTGATTTTAAAGATCACATGCCAATCATGCTAGAATTCACAATCAGGTCAAACCTTGCATTTTTAGCCGCAAGACAGGTGAAAGAGTAGCAAAATCTTTATTCCTTATATCAACCACAGAAATTGGATTTACAGCGATAACTGAAATGCAACTGCTTTACACTTTACTGCTGATGTACTATCGAACAATGCTACCAAATACATAAAAAAAATTTAAAAAAGGACTTGTATTATAATTAATATAGAACATTAGCAACTGCAGTTATTCTGTTTTCAGTATTCCTTTGGACATTTTAAAATAGGCACTATGAAGTAACAAATTGTGTTCAAGGAAAATCTTTGATCATTAATCAACGACTAGTTTACAGATTAAGTATCAGCACATGGTGTTTGGTTGCATACAAACAAAAAATAAAAATAAATGGGATAAGACATAATTGACCACTGGAGTTTTAATTTCTTTGACGAAAATGAATAACACTCATGGGCAACATCTTACAAAACTTCCTCATGCATCGGCTACAAAAGTACAAACTGAAACAGCAGTTTCACTCTTCATCTTTCACAACACGACTTTGGTTAAAGCTGGAATAAATCCAGTTTAGACTGCTAATTTTCTTTAATGGTGTGTTCCAGTATATCACAACAACACAGACAGCCATATGATGTTAACATGTGAGAACTAGAGAACAACTAGAGACCAGCAGCGACGCCAGATTGGTGTGTATGCTGCGGTGAAACACATGGCATGAGAGAAGTGAGCCCGGCGAAACAGGTGCCAGATTTATTCAATATGCATAGCCGTCCTCGCAGGGTCAACTCCTAACCTATGTTTGTTTATATTTTTTTTGTGGTAAAATATTCCCTGGTTTGATACAAGTAATGTAGAACATTAAACATGGTTAGTCACAAATATAGAATGTGTCATTATTGGCAAAAGATAAATGAAAATTTGTTTGGCAAGAACATAAATATTGAATGTCCAACAGCAATTGTTTGTTTTGGCTGTCTGGATCTTGCCATCTTAGTCAAGCTAGTTCCACAACTTAAAAACAAATGTGGGCCAGGGGTGTAAAGTAGGGGGCCAATGGACCCTTCCCTACTTCCTACCCCCTTTGTTCTGGCTCCATTGCTCAGACCAGCCATTTTTATACTCAACAGTCATTTTGATCTCAACTACACAAGTGTAAAGTTTCATGACTGCATCTTGCGCTGTTGTGACACTATCGTGTTGACAAAGAAACACCTGACAAAGTACTCAAAATGTTTCAGTGGTAGTTCCCGCCACAGTAAGTGTTCTCCAGAACCACATTTTGGGTTGATGATACACAAACACACACACACACACACATACACACATCCCAATGACACTGTCGTGGCTGGTAACCAGCACTGTTTAGGATACAGAGCAGCTCGGAAATTAATGTAGTATTTACTGTAAATGACGAGACACTATGGAATGTTAAGTGTCTATGCAAAAACAAGGAAGCACACTATTCACATTGAGGCCCTCAGCAGACTGGTCCTGCTGCTTTGTAGTGTCTCAGAGGAGTGACTATGAGCTCCAGGAAATCCTGTTTTTAATCTGGTCTGTCATAACAGTTTGAACATAGTGGATGAGAATTGTTGTTTTTCTCCCATATGTTTCAACTGGGGTGTGACACAGTGGCAATATTGACCAATACTGACCTTTTCACTTTTTCCATATAATATAATAAAATATATAATTTTGCTTCTCATAATTCATAATGTAATCCTGTTCTGCTGCTGTATTTACAACATTAGTGATGTCAACAAACCATTTATAACAGAAACCAGCTCAAATATAGTTGTTGGCTAATGTTGGCCTGTGTACTATAAGACTTGCAGCCTGTTGCACTAGTTGCGTTAAAATTTGTAGTCTATGTCTAACATTACATTACACTGTGACTTAGTAAAAACAGGTCGCACCATACTAGTTACATCAGCAGAACTTAAAATTAACACCTCCTGACGATATTTATCAAGGTAGGACATTTCCAGTGACACACAGTTTTGCACACAAGAACACATAAATGTACATTATTTGTTTAAATTGTATAGGATTATCTCAAGTTTTTGTGTCCCATGATTACAATACAAGAACAAGAACTATTGGTCAGACCTCAGTTTCAATCCTGTCTTTAGTGTGTGAGGTGTATTGCCTTTCTGATATTATGAGAGTTACGTTTCTATCAACACAAATAACCTCCACCGAGTGTGTGTCTGCTTTGTAAGTGCTGCCCCTGTGCTGAGGACAGACAGCAGCAGCTGTAACTCACACAGAACAAATGGGGTCAAGGGATGCCAAAACTGTACTGACTGGAAAGCCATGTCAGAGGTCACGAAGGCAGCAACACATCCAGCAACTCAAGAGTGTCACTCGCAGCCACGTCTATTTCTGAACAGAAACTGACTGTCAAGTAAAGTGCTTGTGCTCGAACGTGCAAACATTCGTTTAATGCAGTGCATCTGGGCAGAGCAGAGGTTTCTAGTGAAACACTAGTGAAACTAGTGGCACTAAAAAGTCCTTACACACTGTGTAATTTTGTGCTGCTCCAACTAAAACAACAATGATTATCTGATTTGATGCCCTATCAGCAGGAAGCCATCGTTGGTGTGTGCCTTCAAATCTGATGGTTAACAACTGGTTAGGGTTAGGCACAAAAACCGCTTGGTTGGGGTTTGGGCTGAAATTAAGGTCAGGAGGCCATCGTCGTCATGGTTACAATAATAACTCCTTGGTTAATGTTGGGAAATTGTTAAAAGCAATGTTGACAGTCGCTAGGAAACAAGAAGGTCTCTCAAGTTAAAGTCAGTTGTTTTGTTGATCCATCCATCCACCCCAACTCCTCCTCCCTGTGCGGACTTAATGGCTTTATAAAAACCTCACGCTGCTTCCCGCTCTGCTCCCGATGGACAACAGACATCATTCCTACGGTCACTAGGGGGCTTTGAACTTTGAATGTAAACAAATATGGTTTTTGGCATCTGCTGAAACAATCAATATTATAAAGCTTCAGTACCAGAGGCTGCATTTTCAGGACCCCCGCAGCCCTGGGACCGCAGTTCAAGGACTGTAGTTATTTTGTGACAGCTCCATCTAGTAGATTGGTAGTGGTCATGCACAGCAACATAAAGCAGGTTAACCCTGTCTGTACGGCCAACGTGCGCAGCTGTAGGTTTAACCGGTGGACGATAACTTAGGTTTAGGCACACACCCTGTGATGGTTAGGTTAAGGCTAATGGGCTTCGGGGGGCAGTCAAGAGTAACATAGTGTCAAGGAAAACAAGGGTCCTACAAATGCAGTTCCGGTACTGCAGCCACAAACTACTCGAAACAGCTGATGCTGTTTGTCTTTGGAGGACAGTCTCAAAAAGCTGCATCAAAATTCTGACAGCCAGAAATTTAGGACCAAATTCTCACAATGTGACTGCTGCTGCGGCCCACATCTTACAAACCTAACAATCAAAATGCAACATAGAGTAAAGCAGGACACACTGGCTGACGCAATTTGTCAGCATTTTAAAACGAGAAAGCTGCACAGACGAATTAGGCAAGCTGATATTCCACTGCTTTGCATATTCTTGTGGCAGCACTACATTCTGGTGTATTCCGAGTCTAGCAGCAGTGGAAAAAGGTGGTACTGGTATCTGCTTTGAACAGTGGAGTTCTTCCCATGTGACTGCTGCAAAAAGTCCCCGTGCTCTCTCATTTTAAAAGGACTGACACCAAAGTCTCACTTCCCACTGAAGATTTAGATCACTGATGAAGATTTTCTACCCACTGCAGCGGTTGCAGATATCTGGAAAAATGATCATGTCATCTATGTTTAACCAGAAAGATGAACAATACACCGTCAAACAACACAATAGAGCCTAAAATGCAAATTGCAACACAGCGGTACTTTTAAAATGTGCATCATAATCCCCTTATGTAGTTACGTGGTAGTTCGTTATCAAGTGTTGTTTACAGTTTAAATCCCTCACCAAGCAACATATTACCAGTAAACATTACAAATGAGGAATGTCCATTAAAATAAAAAGCAAAAACTGATCAAATCCCACATTAAAAAGAAAACACTATTTAGATTTTTTTTAAATTCCACAAAACCTATAATATTATAATAACGCGTTTAGATTAAGTTTTGTGCCGTCATACAGCAAAAGGGTCTCGAGTATGAACCCTTGAACGGACAGTCACAACCCCAACATCTAGTCACTGTAATATTTCAATGTTAATACAACCCCTAAATCCAGACTATAGCAGGTAGAAAGTACCAGTGTGCAAAAAAGGAGTCAGACTCTGATTCGGAACATGCCCTGGCTCAACTGGAGGCGGAACAGTCGACAGTTGGCGATGCGCAGGGCGGCACAGGCTGTTTTGGAGAGGTCGGTGGGTAACATAGGCTTGGTGCGATGCCATGTTCCAGTGCTGCGCCGAAACTCCCGGATGTAGTCAAAGCTTGTTCCTGTACACACAGGAAACACCAGCTTTACACATATATCTTACAATATTGGCATTGCTATAACCCCATCAGAACACTGCTGTTGTTTTACATTGTTTTCTTTCACTGACCTGTGTCCAGGTCTCCCACTACATAGATGCTGGCTCCGATGGGCACAGCACCGTACACGAAGGATGAGCTGGTCTGAATACACAGGTTCTGGTCATCCAGGAACATCCACCTTCACCCATCATACCAACAACAACAGATATGGGCATCAAAAACAAATACAGGAAAAAAAATGTTTCCCTTTATTTTTATTGACAATTTGATTTGCGCCGGTATTTTGTGTGCATTCTCTGTGTGAATACTTTTTAACCTTCTTTACTCATGTCCTTATGTCCCCATCAAATTAAATGCATATCGTAAGTAAATAAACTGGTCGCCAAAAAAAAACAATCAATAACTTTGTGGTACCTGATGGGAATAATAAAGAATAAACTTTCAGGAACTTCATCTGCTAATGGAGATCATGCATTATGGTCAAAAGCACTACAATAGCTACCAAAATGGTCCTTTCGGTGAGACTGTTTTCTCAACAGCAGTTTCCGAGGTTATTAATGATCTTTAAAACTCAACATTTAAAACAGATGGGATAATATAACACAGAAAATAGTATTAATAATAATAATACATTCACAGAATCTAATAAAAGGTTAAAATTTGTAATGTCAAAAGGAACGGAGGCAGTATTTCTATACTGACCTCCTCATCTCATCATGGTAGAACTCAGACTTGCAGGTCATCATTTGTCTTTGCTCGGGGTTGTCGTGCTCTTGGCTTCTAACTCCACCGAACACATAGAGCTCCTGACCGACACCACACGCCACCGAACCAAACCTGCCCAGGAAAACAACAGCAGAGAATGTGAGAGTTAGGAGTGAGCAATATGGATAACCTATTTTATCATGATATGTTATTTTATTTTTCCATATTAAGATATATATATATATATATATATATATATATAGTTCTGGCTAATGCAGCAAATTTAATTACTGACAAATATACATAATTTATCACATTGAAGCAAAAATCCTAAAATGACAAGATTGCCATAAAGAAATCCTGCTTTGCAACATTTTACGTGTATGTTAACATATTAGGTTAACATTTGAAGGTGTACTGTTCAACTCAAAGCGTGGACGTGTCAAACAATCACAACACAAAGGCCATTCACGGACCACGAAGAGAGGCTAGTGTTGACACGATAAGGGGCATACTTCAAAGTTCACAGCACAGGGGCTAATCCAGGAAAGCCCAATGCAATATGAAAAACTAAATTAATTCTTTACAAACCAAGAAAAAGTCTGATCTGATTTGGCAACATGTCCTTACTGACAGTCCTTTGAAGTGATGTTTCATGATGTTTGAATTGAAAATGGTGCCTAAAAAGCTAACTCTCCAAGACATGATGTCACGCACATCCTTAAGGGTTCAGTGTATACATTAGCTTGATTTCAACCTATTTCGCTTGATGGCTCTAGGATCCCTAATACACAAACATAAATGATATGACCAATCAAGAGATATGCAAACAGAAAGACTGCAAGTTTCTTCACATCTTAAGATCACAGGTTCTGCTATGACTAACAAACGTATATGGTGTGACTCAGCTGCCTCAGTTATAGCTACTTCATCCTGAGCAACCTTTTCATATGTCGGTATGACTGTGCCGTAAGTCGGGGGAGGTGAATCTGAAACGAAAACTGGCAGGTCTGGGAGTGTGACAGTGACCATGGAGCCATGTTTCATTTCTTGTTGCGCAAATACAAACACGTACAAAGTTAAGTATTACAGGCTGAGGTTAAATATTTGCATTACACTGCAAGTGCATATAACATGTGACAAGAATATTTTCAATGCACAGAAGAGAGAAGATGACAAAAAAAAGCTACAACTACTGACTTTAAACTGTGCGGCAGCAAATCAAATCATAGATCCTCTTTCTTTTTTTCCTGCTCAGACCGTAACAGCTAACGCAATCAGGGGATGTGTTTACCTTCTCTCTTTCAGAGGACAGAGGCCCGTCCAGTGCTGGGTTTTGGGGTCAAAGCATTCAACAGAGTCAAACAGCTTCCCGTAGGAGCCCCCACCCATGGCATAGATCTTCTTATTCATTGAGGCATAGCAGCCGACCTAAAAGAGAAGACAAGTCAGAGCGTGTGGGGAGAGGTGCACTGTGGAAAATGAATCACTTCTTCTAAATTCTGTCTAGTTCCTGGACAAGTCTGGACAAGGGTAGTACTGGCCCTGGGTGCGTTTTGCGTGGTCATTTCAGTAACATTGTTAGGTGTGTGCGTGTGTTACACTGTCCAGACAAACATAATTGCCTGGTGTGAGAGACCAAAAATAGGCAACAACCACACAAGGTTGTCCTGCAGGTTTATTTTGGATCTAATACATTCTCAGAACGGTTTCTCTTGAGGTTCTCGGGTCTTCCATGTCCCCTTTTATAGGGGTTTAAAAGAAAAGTTTAGTTTAGCACTTGATGATTCATTGATTGATGGAAAATTAATCAGCAACCATTTTTATTTTTATTATTTTGCCTTTATTTCGTAGATGGTTTCAGGAAATGAGGAGAAAGAGACAAAGGGATGACATGCGACGGAGGTCCACGGCCGAACTTTAGATGCAACAAGTTAAACATGCAGAGAGAGAGCGAATAATGCTCATCTTGTTCCCCCTTTATCACTGTGATAAATGTATCTCGATCAACATCTCTTAGGCACAAAGAAAATAAAATCACTTTAATAAACTATGAAACACACTGAAAGAGCCAGTTTTACGGGATTCCTCTCATATCAGATCAGTCTATACAAAGTATCCCATTAAAAATGATGCAGCCTGTGAGAGAACAGAAAGCTGTCTTCTTCCTCGATGTCAAAACATTTCAGGTGTGAAATGTTTAAGGGTGGCCAGTATCTCTATTGGCAGTTATCAGAGATTTTTAATTTGAAAAACAAAAAAGTTATTGATGATTGAAATGGCTCGTATTGCACCAACTCCGCCTACAGTTACAAGTGTGCTAAACAGACATTCAGTTCTTAGCGCTGCAAACTGCATCGTCATCTTTGGTGATTTTCAGGTGTGATCAAAACTCTCAGCTCTAGAACTGAGAAACGGAGGCTTTGACACGGAGCTGTTGAAGGTAACACCCGCGAAACTAACTTCACCCTGGTTTCCATACTCTTTTCTTTTGATGAGGCGAGTTTATGCTGTCGCTGCAGCTACAATTGTCACTATCTTCCACGTGTTGGATATCCAGCACCTTGCAAAACACGTATCAGCATGTTTCCCCTAAAACATAACGCTGATGGAATGAAATAACAGTAGCCATACAAGTGTTTTTCAGATCTATCTATAATATCAATTGTTTTCATAGTTGCAACAGATGTGAAATATAGAATATTTTAGTTTAATTTCCCTGTTTCAGTAAACAAATACTTAAAGAAACATAAACCATGTTTTTTCCTGTTAATTTTCAATACAAAGAATTAATAAGAACTGTACTATGACGGTGGAAACTCTTGTGCACAAGCCCTGCTATAGATCTCATATTAATTATAAATAGAATGTAGTTTAAAAAAACAAACGGAACAACAAAGAGAGAGATATAATGTGCTGATATAGAGTACTGTGTTGAAGCATCATTATATGTCTCAGTCATCAACAGCGTTACATGTTCTGCTGTCCTGTGAATGTGATGTGTGCATGCGTGTACCTTGCGGATCATGGTCATGCTGGTCTGCATTCTCCAGGTACTGAAGTGAGGGTCAAACACTTCAACAGTGACCAGCTCCGTTTCTTCGTTCTCTCCTCCGAGAACGTAGATCAGACCGTCCAGCTCCACCACACCAAAGTTCTGACGAGCCTACGTACGTCAGTGACATGACTATTAAACCACAGCTACGTCCCACACATTCAACCACACATAAGCTGACATTTTGAAATCCCATTTGAAGCACTGGTATGACACCAGGCTCCACTGATAACCTCACACAGTCTGGGGCTGTAAAACATACGTCTTTACCAACTGTTCCAAAATGTAGATTGCAAAAACACCATAATGAGGTTCCAAATCTTTAGACTGGCTAACTTTTGAAATGATAAAACCCCATGAAACCTCAGAATTAACGAGTTTCTTTCATTCCTCTTGCTTTACTTTTTTATCTCCGGCAGTGTTTTTAATTCACATTTCAGGTAATGTTTTACATTATATTACTTTAATATGATATTCTTAGGTATCAAAATATTGACATTATGAATAATAAATTCTAATGTAAGTAGGATTTTAATATATAACTATTGTGTAGAGCGTTTAACAATACATAGTCAGCATATAATGTGAATGCCACCACTTTCCTCTATAAAATGTCAGCAGCTGACTGGGGTTGTGTAGTCTCTGTCAAACCTGCCTGTACTGCCAACCAGAGTTAATACTGAACCTTTTTGCAGCACTGCTGACAACTAGTGGTCAAGAACGTATACTGCAACACGGCTGCAGAAACACACTTTGAGCCGGATTTACTAACACCCCGAATAAAGAGTACTAAATCTCGTATATGCATTCTAAAATATTGCACGTGCATTTGTTGTACCTTTATAGGTGATCAACTACAACAACGCCTCAAATTGCATATTCATTCAGGCAAAAGTAGTAAATGAACAGCAGGTGCTTTCTTCAACTTTTGAAAGATGTCATTACGTAAGTTTGCTGGTGATATCAAGTTTGCACACGTTTTCACACAAACCTTTAGTAAATCTGGCCCTTTGTATGATGGACAGATAATTTATCCTGCTTAAAAATCCTAAAGAGCAGAACTCCCATTTACAAAAATGATAACTTTCAAACCTCTTCTGTGTCCATTTGACAGAAATATTGAACTGAGGGAAAGTTTCTATACTTATGACGGTAGGATAATTCTAACTGTGCAGTTACAGAAAGGCATGCATGTACCTGTAGCATTGGGGGTATGGGGCTCCAGGTGTTGGATTCAGGGTCATATTTCTCTCCACTGTCCAGGACTGTTTTGTGTTCATCTGCTCCGCCCATCACAAACAGAAAACCCTCTAACAGACAGAAAACACAATGTTATTACTGACTTGCGTATTTGCTGGATCTGCCGTTTGCACTGTTCTACTCTTAAGCCCTAATCCTGATGAAAGAATCACATGTTACAGATGTGTTTTCTGCATCACTTCAGTTGAGGTGGATGCATTTTTCTGGTCTACGCCCAGCACTGACCGGCAGCGACCACCCCGTGGCCGAGGCGGGCGACACTCATTGGCTGCAGCTCGATCCAGGCCTGTCTGTTGGTGTCGTAGAGCGGACACATGCAGCGTGTCACGGCAGTCGGCTTCCTGCTTCTGTACAGGACAAAAATCATCAGACCAGACAGGATGTGATCCAACCGTGTGATCTGGGTGAACTCTGCATCAACTTAAACCTCTTCCTCTAGTTGATTTGACCACATTTATTTACCAGAAAATGGTGGCAAAACAGCTATGATTCAAGAGGGTTTCTAAAGGTCACTTCAGACAGTGCTGTATTTAAACTGCTAATACTTGATGTCTTCAAATCATACATTTTAATTCTGAAGAAATTCTGTCAACTGCTTAGTGTTTTTTCTCGAAATCTTTTGTGAAGTAGAAAAGCTTCTTTGTAGGTCATGATTGGACACTAAAGCTATCCACTGGACAGCAAAGATTGTGATAATAGTAATGCTGGTGATAAATAATTTTATGTCCAAATAGAATACAAATGATAAAAATAAAGACGTGGACTCACTTGCGATCCTCTCCTCCAGAGATAACTATACACTCTGAGTAACCTCGGGGCTTGAAGGCGGCGAGCAGCGCCTCACCCTGTAGCTGACCAGCCCTCAGCACCGGCTGACAGTACTCTCTGATCACCTCCCTCATCAGTGGTTCCCCCATGGCCTGATGGGATACCATTCAGCACACAACAAGGTTAGGTGCTAAATTAGCCCAGAGGAGTTTGTGCCTTAAAAACAGCATATTGTGAAACTTTCTGCAACACAGAACACTTTGACTGGACATTCACATCATCACATAGGTTCTGTTGTTACGCTACTGATAATTATTAAGGGAGCTCAGTCTCATACTTGTTAGCTACGGAGCTGGTTTAGCCTAGGAGTGACCTGGCTGACGTTTATTTGTTCTACCGTGCAGCGTGAAATGTCCATTTTTCTAGTTTCACTGTTAAACCACATTCTCTAAACAGTAGGCTGTGTCAAACAAAAGGTACCTTTATTCAAAACAACAACAAAACAACACTTTACAGTTCCCCTACCTGTTCTCTCAGGTAGCTCAGGTCCAGGCCCTGTAGCCACACTGCAGACATCACTTCCTTCATGTGTACCTGCAAATACAGATGGAATATCACTCACTTTGGGGTTTATAAACAACAGCTTACGGCCACTTTGGAGCATAGGAGTAAGCTGTAAACACAACAATGACTTATCGTCAACTTATAAAGTTTATGTAGTGAACAAGTTGGAACAAATATGTAGACAAGATAGATGAGACACACTAGCATTCATTTAGAGTCAGGATCCTCCACCTGGCAAATGTACGGTACTGTGCAAACATTAGGAGGCAGGTGTGGAAAAAAGTAAGTATTTCAAAAATAGACCTGTTAATAGATCATGTTTATCAAATAACTAGATACAAAGTGATTAAATAATAGAAAACTCTGAATCAAATCAATATTTGGTGTGACCACCCTTTGCCTTTAAACAGCATCAGTCCTTGTAGGTACACTTGCACAAAGTCAGGGATTTTGTAGGCATATCATCAGGTGTATGACTAAACAATTACACCAAACAGGTGCTGTTGATCACCAATTCAGCATGAAGGTTAAAACACAACCATGAAGTGAAACAGAAACAGCTGTGTAGGAGGAATCCAGCTGGGTGAGGAACAGCCAAACTCTGCTAACAAGGTGAGGCCGCCGAAGACAGTTTACTGTGAAGAGTCGCACCATGGCAAGACTGAGCACAGCGACAAGACACAAGGTGGTTACACTGCATCAGCAAGGCAGACAGGGGTTTCCAGATGTGCTGTCTTTTCAAGAGGCATGAAGAAACGTGCAACTATGAGGACAGTATATGCAGGGGTCAGCCAAAGAAACTTACTGTAGCAGATGAAAGACACATCATGCTTTTTTTCCCTTCGCAATCTGAAGAATTTGGAGTTGGAGATTTGGTCAGAATTACGGGTCTCCTCAATGCTGAGAAGTACAGGCAGATGCAATACCATTAGGAGGTATCAGATTGGCCCCAAATTTATTCTGCAGCATGACAACGACCCCAAACATAAAATGAAAGTCATTAAGAAATATCTGCAGCATAAAGAACAACAATGAGTCTTGGAAGTGATGGTTTGGCCCCCACAGAGCCCTGATCTCAACATTATGGAGTCTGTCTGGGATTACATTAAGAGAGAGAAGCAACTGAGGCTGCCTAAACCTTCAAAAACTTTTTGCAAGTTTACCTAGAAGAATTGATGCTCTGAAGGCAAAGGGTGGTCACACCAAATATTGATTTTGATCTTCTGTTCATTCACTTTGCATTTTGAGGATTGATAAATATAGTCTATTTTTGAAAGCTTTCCTTACGGCACTTATTCCACACCTGCCTAAAACTTTGGCACAGTACTGAAAGTTAAATTTGCACACTCCTTTTATCACCAGAAACTCCACCAAAATATCTATAGGGTTTTATTTTTGTGACGTTATTATGTATTAATAAAATAGGTTTGAGAGCAAAACTATCCGCAGTCAAATTACTTTTTTACTGCAGTCAAGTGAGTCAAGCCTGCTGCTGCTTGGATTGTCTATTCATGCAGCTGCATTCACGCAAGAACCTAAAATGGAACACAGAGCTGAGGGGAAGAATATGGGAAGAAATATTGATAGTGCGGCTATAACAATACAATGAGAGAAACAAAATATTATTAAAATTACATATTCATTCCTGTTTTTTTTTTGCAATTTCTAAATATTAAAACGTTTCCACATGCTTCAACAGTATTTACGAGGTGTATTACACCAAGAAATCTGAAGTTTAAGGGCACAACCTATAAAAAACATTTAAATGATGGACTATTTTAAGTGAAAAGCCCATTCAAGTTATTAGTTAAATTGTTTTTCCAGTGTTTCATTCCAGGTAACTATCTGTTTCATTTTCATCCTTACAAAAATCAATAATTTGTTTCTTAAGAGGTGTTATAGTTGTGATATCAATCACAGTGAAATACAACTCTACTTTAATTGTTGGCAATGTTTCATTCACAATGTGCGGTAAAGCAGTTTAAGTGCAGATGGATTTGAAAAGTTTGCAGTGCATTCCAGACTTGATGATTTTCATACTGTGCAGAAATGAGTGGAAACCAATTGATGCTCAGAAAGAATATGTTTACATTAAATCAGCGGTTGAATGTGCCAGAATTTTGTATAACTACACAAAGATAAAACTGAAGAAATTATTTTTGGAGCCAAGGACGAACGATAAAAAAGTCAGCGTTGAGCTTCAATTAGGGATGCTGATATCAGATATTGGCCTAAAACTAACTCAAATGGCAAGATCAGGTCTCTGTGACAAGGGGGCCGATCTATTCAATTCAATTACATGCGTACTACACAATGCCTCGGCAGTGCACTGCTAGACCAAAACATTTTGCTAGGAGAGCTAACATAGCATGAAGCTAAAAACAAAGGGTCAGCAGTTTGGAGGTATTTCATGTTTGATCAGGCCTGATGTTGCCTTACACATAAAGATTCCCAGTCTCTTCCTCACAGTGAGGAATACAACTTATTCATTTTACACTGGTATCCGATCGGTACTCGGTACTACAATAGGCAGTGTATAGAACCCCAAACCAAGCCAGAAATCTTGGTGTAGTCATGGACTCTTCAAATGCCACATTAAGATGATTACAAAGTCCGCCTACTATCACCGGAAAGAATGTATCAAAGATTAAAGGACTCCGCAGGATCTGGAAAAACATGTTTGTTCATTTATCTTGAGTGGACTGGTATACTGTAACGTGTGTCATTACATATCTCCCTAAAAATCGATCAGAAAGCTTCAGCTGATTAAGAACGCTGCTGCTCGAGTCCTCACTAAGACCAAAAAAGTGGATCACATCACTCCAGTTCTGGGGTCTTTAAAGAATTTCGACAAATATAACAACAATTCTTCTGAAATGAATTGCCTAACCTAGCTTTAAAAGCTTCATACACTAACCAATTTGATACACAAAACATTTTTCATAACCCCTCTTATCTCAACAATGAGAGCAACACCCACCCTGCGATCCTCTGGGTCATGTGCGAACCATCGCACCACAGCCTCCAGCACGTGCTTTTCATTGCCCACGTTCAACTTTTCCATAGCCAGCACCTCGCAGAGCCGGTCCGGCGTCAGCTCTGAGAACTCCTCAGTGAGCGCCACATCACCAAAATGTGTCTGCAGGAACTCAGTGGCGGCATAGTGGACGTGGTAAAGGCAGTAGTGCAGAGAGAAGAGCCGGATGCCGATGCAGTTCTCTGCAGTGATGCAGCTCTCTAAGAACTGGCAGCACAGGGACTTCAGGTCAGACATAAGGAGCAGGTCGGACGCCTGCACCATGTCCTGGATGGTCTCTTCACTTAAAGTGATCTGTGTGTGAAGGACAGACACATGCATGCAGGTAGTGAGACAAAGAGAAAGGTGGGGCAATACAGATCAAATGGATATCCACAGTAATACATTAGGATGAGCAGGACACATCACGTGCTCTTTAAAGCCTCCACACTTACTTCACCACTGAAGATGTAGTCCAGGATCTGTTTCATGATGGGCATGGAGACCCCCTGCAGCTCAATTCTGTATGTAGACCCATCTTCCTTTGGAGGATTGTAGTTCAGCTTGGTCCTAACAGAAAATCATTAGCACAAGTGAATATGTTAATGAAAACTAGGAACCTGAAGCTCTTTTATCACCCCAAGCACAAGCACTACCACTGCCACTGTGAAAGTGGACACACCCATTGGCGCTTTAACAATGTTAACACCAGCCAAAGATAACATGCGTGATCAGATTTGGGCTGATGTGCCAGGGCATATTTCTGACCTGATATAAGGGCTGGCAGCAGCCAGGATGTTTTTCTGAACAGGAAGCTCCTCTCCATCAACCACCAGCAGCGCATCGTGGAAGCTTTGCTCCTGCCAGAAGATGCGAAGGACCCTGAGGAGTTTCTGGGAATGTTGTGGGTCCGAAACCTTCGAACCGGTTTCACTTGATCCAGAATCGGGCATGTTTAGGCTTGGCTTTAAACAAATTTACAGGGGCATTCTTCAATTCAGCTGGCACAAATGACCCAACACCTATTTCGATTAAAAAGTAGGCTAATGTTAACGTTAACTTACTCATTAAATTATTCCACTACTAACGTTACAACACACCAAAGAGGGCGGCTGCGAGCTGTATTAACAAAATATAAAACGTCAATTTGTAACTGAAATAATATACTGCTAAGTGAATCAAATGTATGGCTAATACTGTGAGAAAACATAACGATTCGTCTTACGGATCTTCAACTGACAGGTTTCTACATTAAGTTTGGGCAAGCTGGTGGTACGTAAAGGCTAACGTTAGGCTACTAGCAAAACAACCGTCGATAAACAACTGTTCCCATGTCAAACACGAAATAATGTCGCCAGTAAAGTAATTTACAGTTCAACAGTGGAAGAGGTTAACTCAACAATAACTTAGATGACGTTAGTCTAATTTAATTAGCCAAATCAATGTTAGGGGAAAGCTACAAACACATAAACGTAACGTGGGAACCTGCACTGTATGTTTACAATGCTTCAAACCTGTAATATCAATATTTTTCCTTCTAACAATTCAAGTTTACTCTTTTTAAGTATCTTACCTTAACACTACGAAATGCGCTTGTCTTTTTATGGGCACAGGCTGTACCTTAGTACAACATGAATCACTCCATGCGAGAATGTTGTGAGTGGATGTGAAGACTCGACATGTATTGTGCTGCATTCATGGCCACGAGGTAAATAAGGAACTCCCGTTTAAACTTATGATTATGATGACTGGATGCCTATACAAATACAAACAAACGATAAACAGACAAATTCACGTACAAATATTTGAGATCAAAGCTCTCATATTAAAAAACAAAGGCAATCGATTGGTTAAATAGATTTGAATAAGTTGGGCAAGAACCATAAACTGTATCTAAAAAGAACATGCCTTTTATTATCACAGCAGTTCCGCTGGTACATTTCATCTGGCACCTGAACGCAGCATCTGTTGGGCGGAAAGCGTTATAGACAGGCAGCGTCCCAACACTTTAACAGCAGCCAGTATATCAACAGAATTGTGGATAACAACAGATACTAGTTAAGATATATGAACGTATTTGTGTAGCTTATCTTTTCAAGCTAAGACAAATAAAAGGTATTCGCGTGTTCTTTGTTCAGGTTTTGAAATGGATGTAGGAAGTGAGAATTAAAAAGAAGCGGAACAGGACCAACGGAAAGCGATCGATTTGGCAAAAATTCATCGACATTCCTACCAATCTGTATTTCCGGTGTGAGTAAAAACCCTTTTCGCCAACTAGTATAGTGTTAGTTGGTTTACCTTTAGTCATATACATTAGCTAAATAACATGATTATGTGATAACTGTTTTGTAAATCTAATTTTCACGGTATAAAAGTACATGGATAAACATTTGCGCTTTTAATTTGAAGGACAACTCTCCTGTCCACTGTTATCTCCCGGAAACTTGAAACAACTTTATGACCGCCTTAACTTGTTTTGTGCAGGATTAACGTCACATAAAGGTAATGGCACTGCCTACTTGTGTATTCTAGGTTATTATATGTATTATTATGCTGTGCTAGTTAGGAGGAAATCTTGCGACATTGCTGTGTACATAGTGGCGATGTCGATAATGTGCCAGTCGTAGCAAAGATTTTATTTCGCGCGCAACGTTAGCGAAAATATCCTCCCACTATTTAACTAGAATGTATTATGTTACACCAAAATAATGTGCATTGTAAAATGGATCATAACTGATTTGAGTTTCCTTTGTAGCTCCGGTTGAGCTGTTGTGATGGAGGAACCACTGAGCATCGTAAACGTTTGCCTGACGGGACATAACTGGAGACACACAGTTTGAAACTACAAGCATGCCTCGCCCTTCTTGGAGCAGACTGTCTCCATGGATAGAGAGTCTGATCCTGAGCTATGGCAGCCGGGAGGGGAGCAGCAGCGGGCGGCTGAAGGCTCATGTCATCGGGGTGGGTCAGATGTCTCAGTCCCAGGCTCAGGGTTCTGAGGGCCCCACAGGGCTGCTCTTTCTGTCAGACGGAGTGCTTCAGATCCCTGCCATTCTCACTGCAGCAGCCTGGGAGCATCTTCAGGAGCAGGAGGACCGCGAGTGTTTCACCAGTCTGCTCAACACCACGGTGTGCATTCAGGACTACCGGCTGCAGTTTCACATGGCTCACGAACAGACTAAATGCAGGTTCTTCATATCAGTTGGAGAGCTGGCTACGACCGCAGCCGGTCCAATTAAAGACAACACCCCTTGCTGCACAACACTGCCCTCCATCAGGATGAAGATCTATACGACATGGAGGGCCCTGCTGGGTCAGGAGGTGCAGGACTCTCAGAAGGGCCAGTGTGGGTATGATCTGTCGGAGCTGCTGGGGGAGTGGCAGCATGACTGTCTGCAGGCTGTGCTGGAGGATGTTAGGGTGAGGCTGAAGATGGCGAGCAGCCGCCCCGTGAGCCCGCAGCCCTCCACTTCGACTTCCACCTCATCGCTCACCCACCAAGACACATTCTCTGCCACGAGCTGGGATGTCGACAGGGTCAGATACAAAGGAGTGAAAGGTTTCAGTGTCCCCTTAAAGTGTCTTCTCATCCCAGAGGAAGAGGCTCAGCAGCTGCAAACACCACCAAATGTTGGAAGTAGAATGCTGAGTGGGCTTTCTGCTGCCTCTCAGGATAGGAAAAAACCTTCAGAGACCACACAGCCCTCTGTTGATGCTGCAGAGTGGCGAATAGCCAAGCCAGCATTTGTAGAGGCAGATCATGACGTCAGTGAAAACTCACCTCTTCCTGCGGAGGACAGCATGCTACATGAGGACGTAGTCGAAGGGATGATTGACAGTGACATCAGGCCTTTATCCAACCCCTGGGACATGTTTCCTCCATGTGACATCTCCTCCTCTGATGCATCACCAGAAGCAACACCAAAGCATGATGATGCTGCGGTCTTAACCAGCACGCAACTTCTTGCCCGCAGTTTGAAGGAATCCCTGCTGACATCAGAGCACAGCTACCTCCCACCTTACCAGAAACTGCCCCATTCAACTAGCCTCCCCGCCATTACCAGTTCTTCAACTTCTGTGAGTCCACCAGAGCCCTGCGCCAGACCGTCAAACCTGTTGCCTGCCACAGACGAACACCCCAACAAAACGGCCCAACAAAATCTGGCTTTGGATCAAGAAAGCCAGATTTTGGAGGAGACTGTTGAGAGAAAGTATAGAAAGGCAAAGAGAAAGAGAAGTGAGCCCACAACGGAAGCACTGAAAACCTTAGCGGAGGAGGAAGATGAGGAAGCTCAGATCAGCGGGAGCCCTCCATCTTGGCTCTTTGACACTCAGGCGGGCTCCGGGGCCGAAGAGGGCAGCGGTCACAAACAGGTTCAAACTGTAGGGACTGTCTTGAGAAGGACTCCAACTGTTCACAGCGATGGCAGGCCGTTCTCTTACTCCTACCAAGTGTCTGGGCAGAATCTGCAGGATTTCAGTCAATTCAAAGTTGCTGAATCCTTGCTGCAGTGGGCGGTGAAGTATCTTGTTGTTCCAAAGCAGACAGACAACCCACACATCACATCAGTGACCTCTAATTATACATCGTCTGACAGGGTTGAGGTCACTTCCCTTTAGGTTCAAAATGTTGAAAGATCATTGTTCTGGTATTATGTCAGTGTAGACTCGAGCAGCTCTGTAAAGTCGAGTCTATTTAGTTCATACCGTACAAAGTCTTAAGCAGTGAGTAAAATGACTATTTTTGGATTTTCACTGGGAAACATTTTATAAAATAAAATACAGAAAACACAATTTCCTTTGTGGTCTTTCCCGAATTGGATTACTTTCAACTCAAGGTTCAATTACCAGTTTTTCTGGGGCTTTAACATCAAACACACTTTTGACACATTAAGTTGTGAGTACAGTGAGTTTTAGCAGAGCTATTTTTTTTTTTTTTTAAATGAAAACAGCTCTGTGTTGCTGGAAACAAGGTTGATGGGAGTGGTGACAGTGAACCAAAACTGTGAAGTTGCAGGCTGCAAAATCGAAATAATGAGTCCATACAGCTGCAGAGGCGAACTGCAGGGCTGGCTGATCAGTTACAGTGGGTCCAGTGACCACTTTCACATTCGTTTGATCCACTGTTAACAGAAACATTCATTAGTGCAGCTTTAAAGTTCATTTATAATGCTTAAAGCACTGAAGTGGATAGTCATATCAGAGGAAACAGCTGTGACTGCTGTTTAAAGTCACAAACCACACACGTTGCCATCATGTAAGCATTCACAGTGGAAAAATAAGGCTTTCTTGAGAGTTTTAACTTTACACACTTACTAACACTCAGCAGGACATTTCCTCAGCCCTGTAAGACAAATCAGGATTAATAGTTCTGAAAAGGGTCTGACATGAAAACTGATTTTTATAAAAATTTGACATTCAATTAACTCATACATGAAGTTAAAATATCCATATTATTTGATGTTACCAAATTCCTGTATCATGTTTTACCTTTGCTTTAGTTACATTTCAGTTAAATAAATAAATAAAATGAACACTGCAGCATCGCTTGTGAGAGTAAAGCAGTTTTCTATTTGTCCAGAAGATGTCACCAAATACCACACACATTTAAACTTTGATTGGAAATGGGATGAAGTTGAAGGTTCAGTGCAGAGTCTAAATACAAAATATGTGAAAACTTCTAGTTAATTGTAGCCTAAATGGATACCAGCTCAACATTTTACCAGCATTATTAGAGGCCAAATTCAGCCTCTTACACAAACTTGTTGTAACAATGAACTTAAGTCTGCATTTCTGCCCATAATTTATCCCCTTCATTTTGGGGAAGGTGTTGAATGCACAAAGGTATATATGTGTGTGCTGCATGTTCTTATAGCTCTGTTGGGACTTTAACCACAGTGACCATGGGGACAGAAATTGAGGTAGAGACACTTTTTGAGGGTTAAGATGGGGTTTTAGGGTTCAGGTTGCAGTTAGATTAAGTATTAGGATTAGGCATGTAGTTGTGATGGTTAAGGTTAGGGTAAAGGGCTATAGGGAATGCATAATATAAATGAGATTTCCCCGTGGTGATAGTGGCACAAACGTGTCTGTGCTATAACAGAGGGACTGTGAATGAATGGAAATTAGGAATGGAGGCCTGGTGATTCTCCTTGCTCAAAAATGTGTTTTGCTAACTGTGACTTTGGTTGGAATATTTGTGCTTCACAGTGCAGGATGTTGTTTTGACACTAGAAGGCCATTTTCACATTCATCTGCTGCAGCGGCAACGTTTCTCTGGGCTCACCTTCAGTGAAGTAGGGGACATCTTGTTTCCAGCAGTTAAACTATCGAAATGAAGAATGTTTATATAGTCATGAATTCTGTATTTTTCAATGAGGGAGTATGAGGGACAATTGGAACTTTTGTGGAAAAGCCATATCAGATACAAATTATTATTAAAAACAGCACATTTCTGTTTTCAAACATCACATGGAAGGGATCTTTAAGGTAACTACAGCCAGTGCTTGAAGTGGGCCGGTACGCAGTACCAGCACCTCGACATTTTCTTGCGTACCAGGACTTCTCCCAAGCTGCCGGTACACTCTCCTCCGCCCTCAGGTTCTCTGGGCGTTACGTGACACTCACCTGTTCCCGTTCTCGCCAGCATGCTAAACTCGGTGTGCCTTTCAAGCAGCCGTGTGCTGAATGTAGCTCGTCTCCTCCAAAGGTTCCTAGTTCCGGGGTATAGTTCCTTTGGTTGAAAGCTTGGATGGGGCGGGGCATTTAAAAATATTGACAGATAGGTGTCATTTACACTGGGGACGCTGGGGACAGGTCAGAATCAGAATGTCTCCATCACTTTTTGAAAGCTTTTGTTAAAAATATTCTGAAAAACAGCAACAAGAAATGAAATAGAAATAAATAAATGAAACCAGGAAAACATGCAATGCAATTAAAATGTAGAAGAAACAAATGTATTGTCCAAAAGCTGATTATTGCATTATATTTTCATATTTTGAATCGTCACCTGCCACCTTAATTTTGTTTCCCTTCATATAAATACATTTCCATCATAAATTGGTGCAGGAAATGTCTCAAGAATGCAGGAAATTAAGTGTTTAATGCTCAAAGTCTTCTGGGGGAGGACCCCCAGGCGGCCCACTGGCACCTATATCAGATCAGCCAGTTACCTCTTGAACAGACCCGTAAGATAATTAAAGTTTCTCTTTGACAAAGACAATTCAGGAAGAAATCGAAAAGCTCTCTGCCTCTCAGGTCATGCTGTTACATATAATAGGGTGGGAAACAGTTGAGGCTAATTAAAACGTTGGGCTATGTTAAGATTTCTTGGTTAACTGTTTGGTCAACTTAACAGGTAGGGTTACCAACAGGCCTTAAAACTGACTTTTGTACATCCATATGGTACAGTGAGCTGTGGCACTGGGTTAAAAATGTATTATTTATTTCAAATACAGGAGGAGGGTCTTTACACAGATTCCCTCTAAGCTGTTGTGACCCTTGTTGTTGGATGTATGTGTAAAATGGTATCAGATATGTGTCTACAGCGTGGAGTTTGGTGAATTAATGCTCCTGAATGTTGGACACAGTTGCAATTTTCTTAACTCGCCTGAGTGTATGAGTTTAAAGGCTTTAGGATGGGGTGATTGGTTAGTAGCCTTCTTTAAAACTCCACTATAGGCTCATAAGTCTGTAGTGCACCGGCTGATAGATAAACACTCTTGCATTACAATAATTCTACAATGTGTCTTCTGCTGTATGGATTGAAAGAGCTTTCCACCAGATGCTTGATTGCTGGGGCATGTACACGTCTAATACTTGCATGTTAGTTTAGTTTTATTTGCTCATGAATCACCGTCTGCATAGAGAGAAACAGAGAAAAGAACAACTTCTGAGTTTATCCACTGAAAGCTCCAAACCCCTAATGTAAGCAGGGGCCAGCTGTGCGCACTTGTAAAGTTGTTATAATCCTCCTTTGACCTATAAACAGGAAAATACATAATATAAAGCATCATGCTCACATCTACAAATAATACACTGTCCATGTTGTCCTTGTAAGGCAATACAGTCCAAAGTGCCTGCCTGCTGCTTCTTAAAGGACAATTAAAAGGTCTTTTTGTTCAGCGTTGATACAAACAGAGCCAATGTGTAGAACATGGAACTTAATCCAACGAGCAGTCGGTTAGATATTGCTCTTTCCAAGTGAATTATAGGTTTGTGCATGTCTAAGTATTTTATATGTGGGATGTAATTTTGTCAAGCAAGAAATTATTTGGAATACATATCTTAAAACATGTCAATTCAGGTGACCATCCAGACCCCAAATTGCCTCTGATAACTGATGGCAGACTTATAAAAGTTGGAGAGAATGATGAAAACAGATGAGCTGCAAATAACACATTTTTTCCAATGTTGATGTGTAAATACCAGAGATGCTCACAAGTCTTTGAGCTAGAGTCCAAGTCAAGTCTCAAGTCTCTCGTGGTTATTACGAATGTTGTATCACCTGCTGCTTTCAAGAGGTTGCTTTTAAAACTGCATGGCTATAAGGAATACTGTAACTGTAACCTGTTTTTAACTTACAGAGCACAACCATGTAGCCTAATGTACAATGCGTCTACAATTATTGACAGCTTATTAAATACTGTAAGTCAGCACACTCCCCAGACTCTCAAACCCAGAGTAAGTTATAAATAAATAAAACTGTGACGTTGCATAATCAACAATAAACCTGTAACCTGTTTTTAACTTACAGAGCACAACCATGTAGCCTAATGTACAATGCGTCTACAATTAATGACTTATTATAAGCTTATAAACTAGCCTGCTGTAAGTCAACAAACCCTGTTGACTCTCAAACCCAGAGTAAGTTATAACTAAATAAAACTGTAAAGTTACATAGTCAACAATAAAGCTGTAACCTGTTTTTAACTTACAGAGGACAACCATAATGTGCAATGCAATCACTGACAGCTTAAACTACTGTAAGTCAACACATCCTGCAGACTCTCAAACCAGTGTCACGTTATAACTAAATAAAATTGTAAGGTTACATGATCAAAAATGAACCTGTAACCTCTTTCTAGCCAACGGTAATAATTAACGACAGTCGGAGCAAATAACAAATAAGAGGGAATAACACCAAGCTCATCAGAAGTTTCCTAAAAATAAACATTGTTCACGAGTCCCTCACCTCGAGTCCGAGTCTCTGATCTAAAGTCCCCATCTCTGGTAAATCCAGGATAATCCAGGATGGATTAGGCTACTATTTGGTTGTTTTGGCTGATGCACATTACACATAATTCACAAATACATAACTCGGCACAGATTTTAATTTCATAGACATTGTGTATTAATGTTGGTAAATAAAACACTTTTTTGGGGAAACTTTGTTTTCCGACTCTTCATGCCTGCCATATGACTCCTCCACAACTAACAATAATATAAAGAGAAAAGTAGCAAATTCAAATCAGTAACTAGCTAATGTTTGGCGTTTTAGTTTGACAAATTAATTGAACTAATAACGATGATCAAAATTGTCATACAATCTCATTTAATCCAGGATAATTATGACCTTTATGAAATATATGATGACTTTAAGTTTATGCAGTTGTTGTCAAATATTCTAGTATACTGTAGGCTGCTCCAATTATGGGTAGACAAACAGTAATGAAGTGAGTTAAACTGGGTTGTGTTATCTTGAGTAGAAGCATTACACAGGGGGGTATTTCTTTCTGAGCTGCTGTGATCAGTTACATCAATTACTCCCCATATCAATCTTTCAATCTTTGCTCCTCATTGTTCCAAGAGCTAGCAATTTCCCATGGCCCTGAAGCTGCCAGGGACCACCTTAAGGAACCAACAACAAAGGATGGACCTCTTTTCATTTAAAAAAAAAAAGAAAAAAAGACATAAATATAGGTACACCAAAACCTGACAACTATGACAACAGATCCATTAGAATACTATACCCAACCCTTTTAGTTTGTGACCCCTCATCACAGTTTGCATATGCTAACTTGTGACCAGCGTTACCCAGGGTTTACCTCTCATACAACAAAGGGCAAAAAATAAATTAATATAGAAATCATCTTGAGGTTAAGAACCACTGATAAGAGATATATAACTAACTTTAAAAAAAAAATCTACAATAAAGCATGACAACTAAAAAAGTCTGCTAAAATGTACATGTACTGTGTTATTTTTTATAATATGTATTATGAATCCTGCCCTGTTGTGCTTGCTCTATTTGTTTCTCTCACTGACCTGCTCAGGGAAGTCAGATGAAAATGTGCTTGAAGCTAACTCTGGTACACAAAATAGTAACACTATTGTTCAATCTTGTACATGCTACCTATCTACACTAACTAGTAAATACAAAGTGCAGTGAGACACAAATCATCCCAAATAAAGAAAAGAGGTGGAGGATGCTGTAAATTATTAAATACAATTATTAAATATATTATATTATAATTGCACTAAAACGAATGGAAACGAGTGGTGGGTAAGGTATCGTATGTCATAATGATTATTTAAATATAACATTTCCATAATTCTACTAATCTTAATAATAACAACAATAATAATAATAATAATAAGAGGATAATGTCAGGATAACAATGAATTGATTGTGATTGTATAGACCAGCTGGAGACCTGTAGTAGTTGTACCATTGTTGTTGTGATTATTATTATAATATCTTGTCAGACATCCATTATTTACTTTGTCCTCAGATGTTCTTTTGAATAAAGGTGGTGGGATGTTTGCTAATCAATTCCTACAAAGAAAGCGTCCCCGCTGCGTCCCGTATGGCGGACTGGAGGCAAGAAGAGGGCCTGACACGAGTTAAACGAAATTGTTTAAGTTATTTTCCCTTTTTATACACTTTGTTTTCATTTGAGCGAACCCACAGCAACTCCCAGAAAGGACTCGGCGATGTTTGCTTGTTCTCTCTGTGTGAGCAACTCTCAGCGTCAGGGGTGGACGTGATATTTCAAACAGCACATCAGTGCGTTTATGTATTGGGTGCCCGGAAATTTTTCCAAATAAACACAGCTTGATTCAACTTGGGTGGGCAGACTTATCAAGCGACTAATTCTATAAACAGATGAGGGAATAACCCGGCACTTCATTGGCTGTCGGGCAGAGGGGGGGGGCATGAGGGAGTTTCAGCGCAATGAAATTTTAATTAATGTGGGTGGGCTGAGAACACCACCGACTGTTTATGATGGACAATTTATTTCCCAGTGCAAAGTCAACATAACACAGCAAACGTACAACAATTATTAACATTTTCTGGGGCCCTCATGAGTCTGGAGAGTCAGTCAGTGGAGGAGAGGAGCTCCGGGAGCAGGCTCAACTTTCCCCGGGACACACGTCATGACTCTCTACCACGGCCGTCTGCCGTCGCTCGGAGTGCCATCCTCGGCTCTGAGCCTCTCTGGTCCCCCGCTGATCTACTTGTATGGTGGAGACAGGGGAGGGGTCGTGCCTGCTGCCCTGAGCTTTGTGCCGGCCCGCCAGGAGCCTCCGCAGAAGCCGCCCTACAGCTACATCGCGCTCATCGCCATGGCCATCAAGAGCGCACCGGAACAGCGCGCAACGCTCAGCGGCATCTACCAGTTCATCATGGACCGGTTCCCCTTTTATCACGACAACAAGCAGGGCTGGCAGAACTCCATCCGCCACAACCTCTCCCTGAATGACTGCTTCATCAAGGTGCCCAGAGAGAAGGGCCGGCCCGGCAAAGGCAGCTACTGGACGCTGGACACGAAGTGCCTAGATATGTTTGAGAACGGAAACTACCGCCGGAGAAAGAGGAAGGCGAAGAGCCAGCAGGAGCCCCTGGACCCCAAAGCCGCTGGACACAAGCGCACCAAGGGACCATCCAGGGACCCTCGATCCTCTCTGAGACCTCATTCTGGCTCGGGGATAACAGAGGTACCAGCGAGGCAGGATACGGAGAGGATGGAGACACAACCAGACACCAAAGCTGTTCTTGTAGAATATAACCACGCTGAACAGCCGCAAACACCCCCCATTCAGAGACTTAACGTGTCCCCCAACCAAGACACCCTTGCGTCCAATGGGAGGAGGCTTGACGCCCCCCTACCAGAGCCATGTCCCGCGCCGAGACACGCTTCGTTGTGGATGGACGGTGTGAATCTCCCAGACGCGTCCCTCCGCCGAGAGGCAGAGGCCAGAAGGTCAGCGTTCAGCGGAAGACAAAGAGAAAGAGGTCCGCTCTGCGCCGTCAGCTGCGCAGGAAACACAACGTTGGCTTCACTTGCGCAGGACAGGCCGAAAGGAAATGTTGTGAGCAGGGATAAATCAAAAGCTTTTAGCATTGAGAGTATCTTATCGAAAAGTGAAGACGAAATGCGAAGCAGCATCCTCAGCTTGTCAGCGGAGACATGCGCAGAGCGCCAATGCCCCGCTCTCAGTTCGTCTGTGGTCCTCGGTGCTCGACCGCATCAGTTTTACCAGATGGGATTCCCCTTTTGCTCTTACCTGGCACTCGCCTACCCCGACAAAGTACTGCATTTTAAATGAGGACACTGAATTTATACTTTGATGGATTTTACGCATGGATGCGTAAAAAATGTCTGTAAAGCTTTGCATGAGTTACTATGAGACAGCTTACTGTTCTGCTTACTGTTTTTTCTGGATTTCTGCCATCTTCATCATCTAAAGTACTGTTCAGACAATGAAAATGAGCAGCAGGGAGGTTTAAGATTTTAGACATTTTTACCCATGTATAATTGTCAGGTTTGTGGATATTTTTACCTGTTGCTCCTCAAAGTCTGGCTGTGCAATTTAATGCATGATACAACAATGGGGGAATAGTATATAAGGATGTCGTCATTGTCCTGTGACTATACATATAAAGCTCAAATATGTAGTATTTCTCTCTTCATACATGACTAAGAAAAGACTTAGTGTAAATATGGTTGCGTAATCCAAAGAAGTATCTTGAATGTCGTGGCTAGCCCCGTGTAGCCTTCACAGTATCTTGGCACTCTGGAGATACAGTACAATATGAGAATAAAGTTTAGCTCAATAATGTAATCAAATTATATTTTACATTCAACTCTGACCTGGATTTTATGTGCAAAATAAAGTTTAGTTCTGTAATAAAATGACAGCATGCTTTATTTAAAATTGTGAGTAAAACTAGAACCTAAAGTTCTTCATTTTTGTAATAGATTGTTTTTGAAAAACAAAAACAAATAACTTGTTTAACTGATTACTTTTCATTTAAGATCTGAAGCTTATGGTGTTCATTGAGGATTGTCAAACCTCATTGTAGAGGACTGTGGTTTTGAGTTTTGCTGTTTGCGTCCTAGATTTAGTAAAAGAAACATCCAAAGTGACCAGATACAGATATCAGGAGACATCCAGGATGTTGAGAATATTTTCTTGGAAGAAGTTGTATCAACTTCAGATTGATGAGAAGAATCATCATTAAGGAAACAAAGATGAGGATTACAGAGCATTTCAATATCCACTTACGTCCCCTGGGCTCTCCAAAAACATATGGACCAAAAGTTCGGACTCATGATAAATCCACTGTGAAGGAGAATTACACTGCACTCTAGTTTAAAAAACAAAAACAAAACACATTTTTGCCATGTTTTCACCCCCTTGCAGTTTTAAGCATCTTGGCTTTCGCTGGTAATTACACAGACAACCAATGTTGAGTTGAGCTGTTCATGAATGTCCACTTTTTCAGATTTATATTGAAATTTCTGTCAGCTGATTTTATGACAGCATTCAGTAATCAGTGTTTCCGCCCTTTTTGTATTAGAAGAGCCTATGAAAATGAGAGAGGTCACTGTATTTAAATCCTCATAGTACAATTTGTGTTACTAATGGTGATACCTAACATTGATAAAATTGATATATACTGACAATACTGACCCTGGATCATGTTGAGAGTAACAGCATTCTTTGAAATAAAAGCACAAGCTGACAGAACGAGTTCTTTCTTTGGATTTTTCAAATAAAGTCAGTAAATTTGACCAATAAATTCTCTTAACTCAAGGTCCAGTTATTAGCTGTTAAGAGCGTTCAATCGCATCACATGGTCTTCCTCAGTAGATGGAGCTCGCTCAGTTGTCATGCTCCTTTCATTACCGCGCAAACTCCATCCGCTGAGGTCGACTGCAAGATGCAGATTTCTTTTTCCAAGTTTGAAGATGCCCTGTCCACCTGGTTCCCTGACTAAATTCTCTATAAATCACTATAAATGACTATCCAACTATGCAATCTTCTTTTCTTAATCCTATATTACGTATCTGGTAAGGCCTGGTGGCAAAGAAAGTCCTAAATGAACCTTTCTGAGCCAACTTGCTGCAGAATGACACCTGCATGAAATCAAAGTGCTTTGCTGACAGCATCATTACAAACAGAGCGCAGCCATGTCTAAATATAGGCCTATAGCTTAGACACACGCTCGTCTGAAAAAGCTCGACTGTGCGAGGCCAGTGCTGCAAATCAGGAATGTTTGTTGAAATAAATAAACTTCCCCACATTAGAGGAGAGGAACTAACAATCACAAGCATTTCCTGTGTATAGGATTCTTTTGGTCAGATGTGTAAATAAAACATGATGAAAACCTAAGAGGGGAAAGAATGGAGAAGAGGGTGAAGGAAGGGTGGAAAGAAAAGAAGTGAGAAGTATTGGATTATCTGAACGCTTGGCACTCTGTCTCTGGGGGATTTTGGGGCGCATTTCATACTAACACATGACCCACTGTAATTGGCTCGACTGGCTGTTCACCCTCCAGTGATCTCCAAAGTCTTCTAAAAGCAAAGTGAATTAATAAATGTTAGTTATCTGATGGTCTCTGTGAGTGTTTGAACAGTAAAAGATCCTCATGAGAAAGCAGCTCAAACAAAAGGGAAATCCTCTCAGTTGTATTTGTTATGGGAGAAAACAAACTGTGCTGATGGGTTGTGGTCAGAGATCTTTAACATGAATTGAGCTTTAGCATCAGTCTGAACTCTCTAGCGGGGATGTGGATGTGATTTTGGTGCTTTTCTTCTGGGCGCGCAGCCTGCTGGGTAAAGTGGAACAAACTTCTAGATACTGGATTATGCTGAGTTTATAAATAAGACCACCTCAGAAACACAGCTGTTTCTTCTAAATGTAGTTTGTTTTGTCCAAAGTTACTTTTTTTCAGCTGCTATTTGTGCTAAATATATTTACTTTAATTAACTTCCTATTGAAACAATCTTTAGGTCTGTTTTTGATGATCAAACTCATTTATACACACTTTCTTGTTCTTCAAACTCCTAAATAGACATGTGCTTTCAAGATGAAACCTCCATCAGATTATAATATTTTGTCTTATTCTCAGATTTGTAAATATGTGATTATATATTTTCATGTGACAACACTGAAGAAATGACACTTTGCTTCAGTATAAAGTAGTGAGTGTCCAGCTTATATAACAGTGTAAATTTGCTGTCCCCTCAAAATAACACATCACACAGCCACATGAAAAGATTTAATCAAATATTTACAAAAATGTGAGGGGTGTACTCACTTTTGTGAGATACTGTATATGGTTAGTAGGGGCGCGTGAACCTGAGGTGGCTTTAGTCGCTGTAGTGATGCTAAAGCTGGATCCGTCACACAAACTATTTTATCTGAGGTGTCCAGCCAGGGAGAATTACAGCAGTTTATGTGGATAACTGATGTAAATTCACGGGCAATATACTGAGCAGTCAACAGACTGCCTGGAAGATTTTGTTGATTTTGTTTTCAGTCTCTTGTATCAGTACTAAATGGCCGTAGGTTTGACCTTGTGATTTGATGCACTAGGTTATAAAAGAAGGTTGCTTTTTTGATGTCTTGAGTAAGGGGCTTTTTGGCTCATTTTTTTTTTTAAGAGATCAGTCTGTGATTCTAAAGATTGTATGAAGAGTTTGGTGAACACAACACCTTTTGGAGAACACATTTGAAAACTGAAACACATTCTTGGTGTTTGTGCATCAAAACAATAGAGAACTACATTAACCATTAATTAAAAAATTAAAATAACCATTAGTCACAAACATGTCACACTTTCCAAGGTCAAATAGAACTTTCACACTCATCCCCCTTTCTCTCCTCAGCCATTGTGGCTGCTCAAATCCAGATCTTCTTCAATTCAGTCCAAACAAACCAGACACAGTATAGCATCACTTCCTGTTTGACAGAGGAGACATCTCAGGGAAAGACCCACCAGACAGTGTGTGTGTTCAGAGCACCACATGTAAAAGCTTTCATCAGGTTGAATCACGGTACTGTTGTAATAATCAGTCACAGAGTATTTATATGAAAATGCTGTGGAGTATTACTTCAAAATAAATTTAATCTCTGGACTGGCTGGGGAAGAACTGCAGGAGAAACTGATGCAGAATGCCTTTGAAAACTTATGTTAAAATAATGTCAACTGTCATTTGATACATTTTGTTTTATTGCAAATGTTTTGTTCATGGCAAATTCACATGATTTGATTAAAAAGAGGTATAAGGGGAATGCTTTTATTACAAACGGAACTCTATTTTCTTGTCTAAGTCTAGCATAAATGTACATTTATATTAACAACAAACACAAGTCTGTGGCACACACTAAAAGAAACACCATTGTAAAATAAAATGACTGCATTAGGTTACAAAATTCATATCTGTTGGACATGCAGGTGGGGTGGCTCTAGGGATGGCAATGTTCGCAGTGTCGTTTGGTTGGTCCACCACTTTGTTCCAGGGTGAAATTTCTCAACAATTGTTTGATGTATTACCATGAAATGTGGTTCAGACATCCGTGGTGTCCAGAGGATACATCCTACTCACTTTGGTGATCCCCTGACTTCTCCATAAGGTTAACATTTGTGGTTTTAAATGTAATGTCTTGAAACTATTGAATGGATTGCCATGATATTTGTTTCACACACTCACAGCCAGTCAGGAAGGATTGAAATAACTTTTAACTGGTGATCCCAAGGCCTTTTTCCTAGTGCCATCATCTGGTCAAAATTCTCTATTTGTCCAATCCTTTGGTTTATGACCAAACAACTGCAAAACTAATGACATTGATTTAAACATCAGCAGGGCGGCCAACTTTTCTATCTAGTTTGGAGTGAGATTCTGTGTTGCTGAGGTCTGTGGGTTTTATGAGAAGGCCCTCTGTGAAATTACCCACCCCAGCGGTCGGGGTCTCAATCCTCAGGAACATAGTTTAAAATGTTCAGCAGCCAAACTCACAATTTTAAAGCACGTAAAGATGAGAATGCCAAGTCAGTAATCATGGTCAGTAATGAATAAGTGTGATATACTTGCCAAATTCCAGACCATAGCCTAAATCAGGAGACTGTTTTCTAGGAATGTTTTCTTGCATTCTAGTAATTGTTTTTTTTTTTAGTCATTTGTTGTTGAAATGCAAGAGCGTAGGTTTAGTTTCAACATTGAAGGAGACACGTATGAAGGGGGGCTCTAGGTGTCTTCCTCAGAAAATTTGAGCATTGATCACTTTATTTCCTGCATTCTCGTGACATTTTTTGCACCAATTGAGTCGGGGGGAGGCTTACATGCTCCTATGCTCCAATTGTTGAAAAGCACTAGTTTATATAAAGGGAAACACAAAATTCAGGCGGCAGGTGACAGTTATTTAAATGTAAAGTAATAATATAATGCTGTGCAGCTCTCAGACATTCTGTGTTGCTTTCAGATCTGTTTCTCCTGTAGACCAAATTTCCTTAATATCATCCCTGCTGAGTCAGCACACATGCAGGCAGGATTTAGTCTTCCCTCCTCTTTTGTTACCTCTGGAAATGTGCATGTGGCACCTTTTCATGTCGATGGGCTAAATTAATGCATTGTAACCCATGGACTTTAATAGCTTCTCTGTTTCATCAAGTTTACTGCTCATGTTCAAAACTTTCTGGACATTTAAAATCTGTTCCACAAACAGAATCTGTGTTCTCTGACATGTTGAGAAAAAAGTCGTACGAGACTAACATCATCATTTACACTCTGTGGTGCCAACGTACAGGGCCCCGGCAAAAAAAACAAAATGCAGCACATATTTAGATTACTGGCATTTGTGACATGAACAGAGTATTTATACTGTTGACCTTGTGAAATTTTGGAATAGGAGAACTTTTTCATCAGCGGTTTCACTGAAGAAATCTTTGTTACAATGTGTCTGCTACTTTTCCAGTCTGTTTGTGGGGCACTTTGGGGGATAACTGTGAATGAGTTCACAGCATTTGGTGTGACTTTAAGTATCTTCATCAGGATTGATTTGAGACAGAGCTGACAAACCTCCATACTCACAGAGAGAGAAGGATGGAGAGAAATATAGCTGCAACTCTGGAAAGTGTCATCGCCTGCGTTTCATGTGCAATCAAGTCACAGCTCAGTGCTAAATCACACGGTTTTAAGCTCGCTGGTTCAAAAGGGTTCCTAATCCAAGTGTTTATTATATTTTTTCACTCTCTACATAAACTGGCTACACTTGTCCAAATATACACTCAGCACCGGTGGAGGGCAGGGCCATGATGAAGATTGATGTGCTCCGTTCAGGCCACATTAGCTGCTAATCAAGTTAGGTTTCCTGGCATGGGACTCTATACATCATTATGTGCCTCAAATGTCCTCCAGATCAGGACTGATGCTGTTTATAACCTGGACACACACATACACATACAGAGAGACTACAGTACACATGTGCATATGGATATACAGGACACCAACATGAGCACCTGTAAAATCATATTAAATTAAATACAAAAGACCTGCAATAAATCTTACCTCTGTAATCATTTTGTATGGTCACTGTGTCAGGGAAACTCTATGTGTCTGAGACTGTGCATTGAAATGTAAGGGATATCAGGAGGTCAGAGTTGCTCTGGTAGAAGAATCAATACAAATTAGTTCAACCTCAACTAAGTAAAGACCCGGGGAAACCAACAAGAAGAACACTTAATCTGTTCTTCAAGTTATGTACTCCAGCAGAGTACCGTTATACCAGTGTTCAAAGAGCCAAAGTAGCCAATAGAGATCTAAAACCATCACAATACATACATTTGATGAAAATGGTTGTAACGTTAAAAAAAAAAGACCATTAAACATGAGAAGGGTGAAGGGAACAATGCAGAAGACTGGCAGGAAAGGTTGTGGCTGACCCCTCCCACCCTGGACACAAACAGTTGGAGACACTCCCCTCTGACAGGAGGCTGGAGTGTCACAAGATTAGTTTCTTCCCAT